TAGTTCTTTTAAACACAGAATTAGTGGCTGCTGCAGCAAAATGACTAACAATACAAAAGAAAAATAATCTCTTCACTATACAAAAAGCCAAAATGTAAAGATTTCTAGATTATTTTTAAGGGGGGAAAAATTCCCCTCAAACACATCATTCAGCACAAACTCATGTACTTGAAGTCCCAGATCAACTCACTGCTACATTATTTTGTCACACACATGTACAATTTGATTATCCTCAGATAATTCTAAGGATAAAAGTGTTTTAGGCCTTCATCATATTAGATGTAGATGACTAGAATACATGACATTTCAACTCACCTGGAGGTAATTAAAACTGTTTTATACATTTTGCTACAAACCGTGTTTGACAAAAGCAGTAAGTAATTCTTGGAGGGGTTAATCTCACATCTGTTCCTATTCACAATGACCAGAAAGAAAGAACTTGAAGACAATGGCCACTAAAGAATCTCAAATATATCTAATATTCATACATTCATGAATTTAGTGGGATGTTTCTTTTTGTACAACGGAAAAGTTCTAATAATGTCCACATAATTTGAGAGTTAACTCAATAAAAATTTCTGATACTTCCACAGATTAAAGCACACACATACACAGTTTTAATAGATATATATATAAAACCTCTTATATTACTTTAAGATAGATCTACTTGGCCATTACAGGCAATAACATAACATTATGAGAGAAACCTAATATCATTCTATTGGTTTGGTGAGAATCCAGAATCTAGTACCTATCAACATATACAAATCAAATTAACTCCAAAACATTGACACCAAATATCTAAACAAATGAGTTTAGTTTCCAAATGCTGCCATGAATGGAGCAACCAACTGTCTTTCAGGATCTTGATGATAACAGTGTCCTTTCCCATTGTAACAAATCAATTTCCTCATTTTACAATGAAAGAAAATAATATTGAAAGAATTTAGAAGAGTGGCTGGCACTATTTCCAATGTAATACCAAATCATGATCCCCACATCCACTGAATACACAAGAGATAACACAAGCAATAGAGACTGCTTTTAGAAGACATCTGAACTTTTTAGAAGTGGAAATTACTCAGAATTTAGATATGGTCAAAAAGCTGGGGTAATTTACTTTTCAAGCCACCATTATTTTTATCAGGTTATTAAAAATACCTTAAAGGAAGAAAAAAATTACTTCTTTTGGTCTTTGCTGATTATTACTAGGCTCAGTAGAAAATATAAGACAACTACTGTCTCAGATATTGAAAATAGGCAGTAATACAGATAAAGCACATTATTTTCTGAGGTTACCTGACAATATAAACAAAGTTGGCTGAATTCCTTCAGTATTAGAATAAAACACACTAAAATAAACTTACTAGGAAAACAGGACATCAATGATATTTCTTGGCAAATCATCTTAAATAAGGTCAAAGAGGATTACAAAAAGGCAATATATTTCTAATATTTTGTTTATACATACCACAAACCAGTAAGTTAAATGCAAAATAATGCACACTCATTTTTTCTGGTGATTATCCTTTAACAGTTTTTACATGGCTTTAAATAAGAAAGGATTTCTAAGCTACATTCTCAAATGCAATAGACTAAAAAGCATAAAGTGCTCAACAGAAAAAGATACACCAAACAAAATATAAAATTTTTGCATATAACAAGCAAAGTGGTTATAAAGGATATCTGGGAACTATTAACTTGCTAATAAGCTTTCCACCCAAGAATGCAACCTTAGAAATCAAGGCAAGACTGCTCTCAAAGGTAAGAGTCCCACAGGACATAGAGGAAAACCTTTCCCTTCAGCTGCATCATTTTTCTTATAGAAATGGACTTTCAGGAACTGGTACTTAGAATACAGTAATCACATTTGCATGTAAAAGTAAAAACTCAGGAATTTTACAGAGTCTAATATTTGGCAAAGGAATCTGAACCTTTTGAAAGACCATCAATTGCCGTGTATATGTTATTGGCAATGGCCATTTATTTAAACTAAGAGCCCACCTATTTAAATTAGAGCAGCCGAACAAGGAATAAATACCCCTGTTGACAGTCAAGCAAGTCTAATACTAGGTCTATGGAGAAACTGGTTATAGAACTGAAGGCCATTAGTTCTAAGAGTCTCTAGTTAAAAGGCAATCTTTTTTGGGGGGACAAGGGGGTTGGTGGTGGAAAGTTCTAGACCTTGTGTTCTTTACCAAGCCCCCAAACTGATAGTGCTCTTTGCATCTGAAAATATTATCAGTTTTTAAGAATGAAAATTGAATCCAAAAGTTATAAAGAAAATTCTCTCATGTATATACAACTCAATGAAGAATTAAAAGGGTCTCTTTTTTGTCCTTTAAAATTGTCTTCTCTAAATTCAAGTAGATGAGGTTGGGGGTGGGAAGGGGATTTAAGTCACTGGAATCCTCAAATTTGCTTCAGTGAAGGAAATAGACATTTTGGAGAATGTTGAGGCCAGTCAGGATGGGTCTTGAGCAACTTTATCCAGTGTATCACTGGAAAAATGATACACAGTATGAGGAAATGGCAGGATCCAATGTAAGGTATTTTTTGGAACAGTCAGAAATACAGCTTGTCTTTGTAAAATAAACTAGCCCAAACAAGGTACTTCTTAATCTGTATTTTTTTAAAAAGTTCCATATTTTTCCCATAAAAAATAACATTTCCCATATCCCCTTCTCAAGTATTCTTTTAAAAGCCCTTATCCATAAAATTTTCATGGATACTTGATAGTGGTCATTTTTAAGAGCTGGTTCTGGAACTGAACTGTCTAGTACAGTAGCTACTACTCATCTTTTAAAAATTTTCAACGTTTATTTATTTTTGGGACAGAGAGAGACAGAGCATGAACGGGGGAGGGGCAGAGAGAGAGGGAGACACAGAATCGGAAACAGGCTCCAGGCTCCGAGCCATCAGCCCAGAGCCTGACGCAGGGCTGGAACTCACGGACCGCGAGATCGTGACCTGGCTGAAGTCGGACGCTTAACCGACTGCGCCACCCAGGCGCCCCACAGTAGTTACTACTCAAATGTGGCTACTGAGAACCTGGAATGTGGTTAGCTTAAACTGACATGTGCTATTAAGTGTAAATACACACTGGTTTTGAAGGCAAAGTAAAAAAAAAAAAAAAAAAGAAAAGAAAAGGTACAGTATCTCCTAAATAACATTTTATATTGATTATACGTTGAAACAGTAACATACCAGATATACTGGGTCAAGAAGAAATATATAATCAAAATGATTTTCACCTGTTTCTTTTTACTTTTTAAATATGCCTGCTAGAAAATATAAAATTACATACTGCTCACACTTTATGTTCTTAAACAGTATAGCCTAATAGAAATAGAGCTCTGAGGCATTATGCTGTTTGGGCTTAGAACCAAACCTATTTACCACTGTATGCTTACAAAGAATTTCATGAGATTATGTTTAAAAAAACATAATCTTGGCAGTCTGGATCACAACTCTGTGTTCATTCTTATTACTCAGGTAATTCTTGACTATACATGAGAATGGCCAAGAGTAACAGTGCTGAAAGGGTTGTTCACTTTATATGCATTTTAATAGGAAATTTCAGTTTCAAAGGACACAAAGTATGAACCACATTCTCAGATTAACCAGAGCATTGATCAAATTAACTTACATGGACCCTGACCATTCCATTTTCTTTTCTTTCTTTTTTAAGTTTTTATTTATTGAGAGAGAGAGAATGTGAGTGGTGGAGAGGCAGAGAGAAAATCCCAAGCAGGCTCTATGCTAGCAGTGCATAACCTGACACAGGGTTCAAAATCACAAACTGTGAGAACATGACCTGAGCCGAAACCAAGAGTCAGACACTCAACCGACTAAGCCAGCAAGGCATCCCTCCATTTCTTTCTTAAACACAGTCCTAAATCTACAGCTGGTAATGTAGTTTGCCACAAGATACAATGTGAAATTATCATTTAAAAATAAAAACTTTTTGTACAAATGTCCAAATCACAAAATTCTAAAATAAAATGAACATGTAGCTTTTTGTAGTGACAGAAAGATCTAACCACAACAACGGAAACAGTAAAGTCACAGATGTTTAGTCACTGTCGGGTTTCAGAGTGGCTTACTGACCGAACATGAATGCCAAGTTCCAAATATTCTAAATTCCAAAACATTACCTTGCATGCTTTTTCCTCTAAGTATTCACTCCTATTGTTCATATGTTCATGTCTTTAGATAAATAAAACTGAATTTTAAATATTTGAGCACAAAATTTGAAAACTATAAGGAGAAATGTCCAGCACCTCTGCTGCAAATTGTTCTTTATGGAGCAAAATTATGTTCTATAAAAACATACTAATACTTCTTTCTTCCTGTAATATACACAATTTTTAAGCTCTTCCAAGTACATCCAGATTTACTGGTAATTTAAGGAGGTGAATATTTTCTCCAAGTCTACTTTGTAAACCATTAAGTAATGGTCTTGAGTATTCGCTGAACTACAGGACCTCCAAAATGTTGCTGCCAAAGTAAAAATCTGAAAAGATTTGTAACATTATAAAAAATGACTTCAAAATAGAGAACAAATTCCAAGGCAAAAGGACTTACAAATTTTGAAACTATAATGCCTCTATTACCAAAATGGTAAAACACTGATCTTTTTAGAATTCTGTAATACTGCCTCAGACTCCTACAGTTTCAAAACCATTCATATTTCAGATTTCCATCACATCTCTTTAGAATATGATTTGGTTGCTGTTCATAATAGATTAAAGTCTGTAGTTTTGATGGTCAGACCTAATTAAACAGAAATGACTCAGTTTGGGCCCAAGATAAATGTGGTACAGAAAGATCGCAGACTTCTATCAATGCACACAAAACATACTCTACTAGAAGAGTCCTGGGACTTCATTAAATGGACTTTCAAATAAGTAATTGAGCCTCCAATTAAAAAATATGAAACATTTTTAAATATAATGATTAACTTAAAAAATACAGGAAGTGCAATATCACCAATTATGTGCATTTTCTAGGATTCATTTTAAAATTCAGGCTAATATTTAACAATAGTATTCTAATTAAATTATACCATTTGAAAAAGCTTGTATGTCTGGGAAAAGATCACATAAACGTGCTTTTTTGGCCGGGGGAAATGCTGACAAAACTACAATAATGAAAAATTAATATTGCCTTAACATTTCTAAAATCACATAAAAATGATCATCTTTGATAGCCATTTCAATAAGTTTGATACAGAGTATGTTACTGTCCACTTACTAGGAACCAAAACACATAGAACACACTTATTCAGATTCAATTATTTTCAGGAGCTAAACATTTCTGAGACTTTTAAGATTTGTGTTTGAGCATACAGTACTGCAATGTCGGCTACATAAAATAAATAGAAAATCTTCTCAGAGGAAGCTCAAGAATCAGAGGCTGTATTGCATTTAAGGATTTAACACTGGTTATATACAGAAGGGAAAGCATTTCAATTAGAAATACTTCACGTTACCAAGCTCTCTTTTAATATGGCAACTTTCAGCAGCTTACCATTCTGACATTTAAAAATCAACAGCAGTAGTGCTACTCTGTTATCCTTTGGTTCCCAGTAATGATGCCTCTGGTTTTCAGTTCCTCTTGGATGACATTTATTAGCAGAGAGAAACCGGATGCTTTTTAGCTGAAATTTGGCAGCCCAAGAAGTGCACCAACTGCTCCAAAGTATCCCTGTATAATTTAAAAACAATTATTAATGCAGTCTAGCTTTTAAATTAGCATACAATATTCATTATTAGGAACAGATATTTATTATAATTTAAGAACATCTATTTGGAAATCTACCCATTTGTGTTATCAGTTAATATCTGAAAATATGAAATACGTGCTTTTGAGAGAGAGAGAGAGAGAGTGCGCGCACGCACGTGAGAGCGAGCGCGAGCACCCACGGGAAAAGAACAGAGACAGAATTTTGAGCAGGCTCCACGCCCCCGACTGGGGCTTGATCTCATGACTACTGGGGCTTGATCTCATGACGGTGAGATCATGATCTGAGCCATAATCAAGAGGCAGATGCTTAACCAACTGAGCCACCCAGGTACCCCTGAAATACCTATTTTTAAAGTATTGCTCTTAGACATTAAAAAGCTTCTAAGGTTATTGCTGCAAGTCTGTACCCCTCTTGCCCCTTTTCCTCAAACGCAATTCCTTTTGTTCATGTGTCATCCTCACAGCATACAGCATGCCATGCGGAGCCTGCACAGCAGGACACCATTCTCAACTACAGGGTGAGAGCAGAGACAATGAAACAGACACTTATAAGGGAAAACTCTGAATATGTGTTATTAAAGTTATTAATATGTCCACTTGACCAGAAACAAAATAATTCAAGGTAAATTTACTTAACCCAAAATATTACATGAACTGATATTTTCAGATCAGAATAAATGGATGTAGTGAAAGAATAGGAAAAAAATCTTGAATAAACTCCAAAATTTTAACAGTGGTCACCTCTGGAGGTGGGGGTGAGGTTGTGATGGGAGGATTAAGAATTTTAAAAATTTTCACTGCTAAATTATATATTTTTGTGTTGTTCACATTTAATATTTGTTATTTCAAGGGAGGAAAAAAAAAACAAAAGAAAACAATTTAACAAAAGAAATCCACTAAGTACACAAGCAATCCCAATATTTAAGGAGTTTATAAGATCTAATACTGCTCTCTCTTGGTCAGGTCAGAAGAAGTGGGAAACTCCATCTTAATGGGGTGCCTGCATTAATGGGCCATGTAACCTTTATGGGGGTTATAGTAACCCCTATCTCCCCAATTCAAACTGAAGTGTGGGACTCAATATACTATTTAGTAAATCGCAGTTTTATACTTCTAAGTACACAGCAAGAAGCAATATATAAAACTTGCATATAAAAAAAGCATACTATTAAAATTCACAAAACATCATTTTCCTATCATACCTCGTGTTCTAGAAACAATGCTTTCAGTTGACCTTTTGACCAATAATCCAGTGCATATGCCAAAAGTTTCATTGAGAGAGTATTGACACGTAAAAAGTTTCCGACAAAGACAACTCTGTTTATTTTCTAAAAGAAAAGAACAAATAAAATGACCTGAAATAAGAGCTATCAAGTACATTTTATAATACAGTAGGGTTTAAAAAATCTCCACTTAAAAATATAATTAGCCACTACCTTTTTTTAGTGTCTATTACATTCCTGGTACATATACCTCCATAATCCTGAATATTTAAAATTTAGTTCAGGACATATCACTACACATTTGTCACAATCCATAGAATATATACCAAGAGTAAGCCAAAATGTAAACTATGGGCTTTGGGTGATAGTGGGGTTCAAGAGTATATGTGGGAACTCTGTATTTTCCACTCAATTTTGTTGTGAAGTTAAAACTTGTCTAAAAAATATAGTCTATTAAAAAAGAAAAGTTCTCGAAAGACCCTAGTAAATGATTTTAGATGAGACTTGTTTTTGAAAATGGCCAATAAATAACCTATTAAGAAAGTAATTTGGAGAAATATTATTGAGATTAAAGGAGAGAAACCAAGGAAGAGTATTTTAAATGTGTTTAGAAATAAAACACTGTAAACTTGAGGCTTCCAGCATCTCTGGCCCTGCCTAACCCATCAAGTTACTCTCTGCTAAGATGCAACTCACTAATTTAGTTCCCTAGATACCTTGAAGGAAATCTTAGATGGAGGAACTAGTGTTTCAATCTCCAAAACGTTTTCTATTCTCACAATATATTGACTTCTGAGTATACATTTTTGCACACTGAGTTTGGATAGTGTATGCTATGGCCTTAATTACTATTAAGTGGCCAGTGAAAATCTAAATAGATCTACAGGGCTAAGAAAAAAGGTCCCAGAATATTGTCTGCCCCCAAAAGTGAAATATTCCCCAAACCTGGGTTAAAACACCTGTTAGTGGCTCTTACCACCAACTTACTAAACTGTTATTGAGACACTTAGAACTCTGGATTTTAACACAGAATAATATGCATGATTATCTTACCTCCTCTAAATATTTATCCAAGGGTCACATTTTCAATAAAGCCTTCCTTTAACAAGCAAACTACTCAGCAATCTGACTTCTGCCATTCTCTTTATCTTGTTTGGTTTTCTTTTTGTAAAAAGTAGCATTTATTACCTAACATATACTAAAAAATTTACTCTATCACTAGAATAGATGGAAGCTCCACAAAGTCAGGGGTCTTTGTTTTTTTCACTAATATATCCCTAGTGCCTAGAAAAATACCTGGTACAAGGTACTCCACAATGAATAAATGAATGAACAAATGAAGGATTCCCTCAAAAAGCAAAATTTCCAATTCATTTAAAGTATTTGATATTTACAAAAATTAAATGGGCAAATACATCTATTACATGAAGGCAGAACTGTGTATTTACTCTCCTTCATATAAAAATAACCCAACAGTGAGGCAAATCTACAAGATAAATCTATGTTTTTCATAAGTATGTATCATTCAAATTGCATGTGAAGAACAAGTCTCAATGCCTTCATAGCCCTGTACAATGCTGCTTGATCCATATGCAACAAGGCAGCACTGTAAAGAAGCCAAAGGCAATAAGAAAACTTCCAAGCACTTTGCTAATCAAATGCAACATTAACAGCAAAAAAAAAAAAAAAAAAAAATCCAAAAAACAAAACCAAACCCTCCTTCAGTAGTTACCTCAAAAATGTCCTATGTTTGAAAAAAGAATTTTCTATCTTCAAGAGATTTAGGTGGTATATTTCTGGAAAAGCTTCTAGATAAGTTTGAAATATAAATATCTATTTGTCCTCCTTCCAATTTGAATTATCTGCTATTTTCTTTACAAATAACAATAAGCGGGTACACATGACATTTAGCTAATGAGCCTTGGGATTTAACAGAGATGAGTAACCTCAATCCTAGAGACCTCCTTAAGGAACATAAAGAAGCCCTGCTGTACATAAATAAAATTTCAATCCACATTTTCCATATAGTTAATTTTTTTACCTCATTAACAGCACACATTCGTGCCACAGACCCAATGTTATTGGTGATAGTAACTAAAGTTGCTCTTGCTAGATCTTCTTTACTAACAGATTCTCGCTTCTCCTTATAAATCATATTCCCAAAACTGCAAAGAAATGAAAGACAAAATCAATTCTGCTGATAATCAACATTTTTGGGAATTTATCTTACAGATAAATGTGGTATGTACAAAATAATGCATGTTAACAAGGTTACTGACTGACCCATTGAACTATACACAGCAAAATACTGGAAACCACCAAAACATCCAACAAACTTTGATAAACCCACACAATAAAATACCAAGAAGCTGTTAATAAGGGGGGGGAGAGGAAAAGGGAAGGGGGAGAAAAGAAGGTGAGAAAGAGAGAGAAATGAAGGTAGGGTGGGAGGCCAGCAGATAGACTAGGATATCTTGCCTAATGAAGAGTATATACAGTATGCTGTATGGTAGTATACAAATATTACCTTTTGAAAGTTACCTTCTAAGTAAGGGGAGGATAAGGATATGTATTTACATTTGCATCAAGAAAAACTGAAAGGATGCACAAGAATAAAAATGGTTTCCTATAGGGTATATACCTGGGAGACTTCTTAATGTGTATCTAATTTTTAAACTACATGAATGTTCAAAACTTGGAACCTAAACTGGGTTAAGAGTAAGAAAGCCTCCTTACAACTTCCTAATATATTGCTTTCTAAAAACTAAATAGGCAACTTTCATTACAACATAAATATTAAAGTTACCTAGATGCTACAGCCCAACCTGGCAGACGAAATCTTTCATAATCTCCTCCATAAATATCACGGACCAGTTTGTCGGCTTGGGTGCTGTCACCTTTGGATGCCATTTCAAGAGCCTCTTCAAAACTTTCACAGCCAGTCAACAGACAGCATAAACCCAGAAAGGTACCTCCTCCAAGGCTAAAGAAAATAAAACTGGGTAAGTTACATTTATACACTGTATTCTTCCTCCAGAGTAAAAATCAGAGTATTCATATATTCAACAAACACAAAGAAAGAACATATTGCTAATGCCAAGTGCTGAAATCAACATAATGAAGGTAAGAAAAATGCCTAGCAAAGCCAAATTTGTCAGATGAAATAAACCAAAGGGAAAGATAATCACTTGGTGGAAGCATCATGAGGATGGAAGAGATATTTTATATCTTCTATTATCTTTACCAATTCCTTACACTTTGTAATTGCCAAAAAATAAATGCTTTTATGTGTGTGAAAAAACAGTTTAAATGTTAAAAATTACTATATGAATTAAAAGGAGAAAATTTATAACTCTAAATGGTTTCCAGGAAATGATTTAGTGAAAGGTCTATTTACTTGGTCTGACAAGGCTGAAATCAATTCACTGTGATACATAAGCATTTAATGTGACCCAGAAATGAATATGGTGAGAAAATTTTTGTCAGTCTGGTCAATATGTTAATGCCAGAAATTTACTTGGTTCTGTTATTCTTTTGGATATGCTGATAAAATGAAATGTCTAACCCCTAAAATCAAAACCTTTGTTCCTCAGTTTCACCTCAATTTCTAACAGACTCTATTCCTGGTCACTGCTGGAATTTAGTTAACTAGACTTAATTTCTTTTAGAATTGACTGCAGTAGGTAATACTTCCCTGTAATTCTCTGGCATAGAGCATCACAAAAGAGGTAGATTTTTAGCCACCATAGATATAAAATACTAATTTAAGGATCACTTAGGGGCGCCTGGCTGGCTCAGTCAGAACATGTGACCCTCAGAGTTGTGAGTCTGAGCTCCATGAGGGGGGCAGTTTAATTAAAACGAACAAAAATATTATGTATCACTTTAATAAGAGCACTACTTTAAAATGGAAATGAGTATTTTTCATAAACCCCAAAATCTTTCTTCCTCAAATAAAAAGGAGTCTCTACCCTCCTTAAAAGCTGATAAAGTATATATCAGAATCATAAGGACAATTTAAAAATTTCATTTGACAATACTTCAGGCATTATAGAAAACACTGGTATATTTGGAACATTAATGTTATTCCATAAAGAGCTTATGTTCAATTCATCCTATAAGAATTATCATAATGTTGTCTAACACAACACTTAAATATGAATCTAATCCAATCAGCATGCAAGCTAACCAGTGTCAAGCATTAGGCTTAAATATATCTATAAAATAGTGAAAGGAGAGAAGAATGCTTTGGAAAATAAAAAAGTCCCTGGAATCATTCCAGATAAAAATTCCCTCTTACAATTGTGGAAAGTTTAGTGCCAACTGTTGCTAAGCAAATATAAATAATGATTTCAGTTTGAGTCTTTACACACATACCTTATGAAACAAAATTATCTATAACACTTTAACTTCTACTTACACATCTACCTTTTTTTTCTATTGCATAAATACATGTTAAAGGCTGGCATTAATATGAGTTCACAACTTCTGTGTATAAAACAACATGAATGCTGCAATAAGAACAAAAAGGTTACTACCTTGTCCCGGTTACTCGTTTATAGTTGTCTTTGGAATGGACTGCTAAAATACTGACTCCTGAACCAATGTTCACTATCAGCAGTGGATAGGGATCATCCAAGTTAAAAGGCATCTTTTGGCATCGCTCAGGTTCTGAGGCATTAGCAAAATAATAGCACTCTGCTTGTCCATTGAAACTGACAGAATCTATATACAGCAAGCCCTTTACAAGGCAGTCAAGTTCATCCAGTTTGTGCAGGTGGAGGTTTCCAATCTGTAAAACAAAAACAAAAACAAAAACACACAAAAACACCAAAAAAGTTGTACAAAGTGAACAAGGGACAGTATTAAAAATATTTGACTCAAATGCACTGTATAATTTTCACATACTTTATAAAACTTCAAAATCATCTATACATTTCCACTTGTTTTGTGTCAACATCTCTTAGTCCTATGATTCTTGGTGATGGTGGTATTACCTCTGGAGGTATTTGTGGGGATTTTCAGTTTTCACAAAGATAGAGAGGAGAAAAGAATTACCTCTGGAGGTATTTGTGGGGATTTTCAGTTTTCACAAAGATAGAGAGGAGAAAAGAACCAAACTAACATTTAATGGGCAGGGACTTGTGATGTCAGATGAGTGGGGCAGTTGTGCAAATGAGTGGGGCACAACTCCAGTGAGTGGGGCAGTTGTGCAAAACAAAGAAATATCCCATTCCTGCTCTATCTTTCACTGTTCTGACAGACATTTTTGTAGGTAGCAGTAGGAAAATTTGTTTATAATTATCCATGCCTATGTAAACATAAAATATTCTTTATATGGTTTTAATATATATACACTAAATTTGCTAGGAATGCAACCATTATATAAACTGAGGAAATACTGGACTTCCATATCAATCTGTTAGCATTTGTGGCTTTAGAATTTACGGTGAATGTATATCTAAGTGCCAGTATCTAACTATTTCATTATGCCCCTTTTATGTGATCCTACTAGAGAAATCTACCAATATATAAATAACTTCATTTCCTGTCTCTATATTATACTTTGAGTACTAGTTTGAAATTATTAAACTTACTTCAGGTTAGTAAAGAATGTTATAAAGTATTTGTAATAAAATCTCGGCTTAGAGATCACTTCCTCTGGGAAGCTTTCGTTATCCAGAACTTGTTAGGTACCACACTACTCTGGTGTTCCCGTGGCACTGTTTTTCACAGCAATAGCGTTAATTATCAGACACAGTACTTTTACTTTTAAATCATTTGTGTGGTCTAGACTACTACATTCTTTCGGGGCTAAGACTGTGTCTTATTTCCAGTAATACCTGACATATACTACATGCTCAATTATTAGCTTAATAAATGATGGAGCATCAACAGGAAAGTTATTACAGAACTTCATCACTAGAAAATATTGATAGTGGCCAGGTGAAATGAAAGCTGGCATCAAGGACACTGCTTTTGGTAAGAATATTAAACACCAAATATCTCATGTCCAAGCAAACTGGTCTCAAATTTATGAAATTTATGTTCAAATTATTCAATAAATTGAAAACAAATCAGTATTATCCATCAAAATAAAAGAATTAATAAAATTTAGACTTTTAAACTATCCCAAAGTTTAAGGGGCTTATGTTATATGAGCCATGTAAGTGATCACTTATGTTCTATTAAGATTTTTCTTATATAAATTTAAGAAATTAAACGGTCCACTTGCATATTTTCACAGAAAACAAATTTCAGTAGCCCCAAATGCCAACTTTCTAATCTTTACTCTAATGGAAAGAACTAGAAGCTTGGCAAACCCCCACTAGCACATAAATCAATGCTTACATTTGCCATTTCCAAATGGCACTCTTTGAGACAAGACCATGGTAATGTTGACAGATAAAATCAGGAAAAGGAGGTAATAGGGACTTTCATTCAGATGTCTACTAGTCAAAAGACACTGGCTTCAGCTGTTTTTCTTTGGGGGAGGGGGATGGCCCTAGGAGAGAGGGCTATATGAGTAATAACAAAGAGCAATGCAAACACAGGACAGTAATAGTGAAAATAATTCAAACCCCACTTATATCTGGCTTCGTACACTACCAAATTCACTGAAATTTCTTCTTATTGTAGCTTTGTAACAGTCCCTAAACCTCGCAGGTTTTACCAAACATTATGTACAATAAGGCCAAATCTGGGTGATTTTTTAGTCTATAAAGGTGTTTAAGTGCCCCAAAAGAAGGGTGCCTAGGTTGTTCAGTTGGTTAAATGTCTTACTCTTGATTTTGGCTCAAGTCATGGTCTCAAGGTTATGAGATGGAGCCCCATGTTGGGCTCTACGTTGAGAGCGGAGCCTGTTTGAGACTGTCTCCCTCTGCCCCCTCCCACCCCACCCCCCACCACCAAAAACGTGTCCCAGATGAAAAGCTTGTCATGAATATAAACTTCCTCTGTATCCAAGCAGGGGCAACTAATCTAAGAAACATGTAAGATGGAAGGAAACCTAGACTCATGTTTTAAAAATTAAAGAGAATGGGTATCAATGTTTGGCTTTGAGTAACAGATACCTACTGTGCGGAAATCTTCTTCAAATTTGTAAGCACCACCTCCTGTAGCACATAGCACCGTGTGTAATGTTGAGAAGTTTTTATCTCTTCCCATTTGGATAAAAGTAGGCAGGTCATGGGTTGGAAATCTGATAAAGTGCAAGTTCCCTCTTCGGCCAAAAAGTGTTAAATCCTTCAGTTCAAGGTGTACATCCCGAATACCAGTGGATCCATATGCTACATTAGAAGTCAAATATTTCCGGATACTTTTTAAGCTCTCAACCTCTTCTTGTTCTTCCTCTGCTGTGATATCAATAGGTTCGAAATAGGAGAGCTTTACTAGAGTCCCCCCAATGTCCATGCCAAACCATGGGAAAGCTGTGGATTAAAAAAAGTAATAACTTTACCTACATTGGTTTTAGAAACACAAATTAGTTAGAAACTAGTTAATTAGCCACAAATTTCGCTTACTCTGAATCATGCAGTCAGTAATATTTTTGGGGTAAGATGCATCTTCTATGTGCAACTCAACTTTTTCCATTTGAAGGATTACTTTGTATATTTTCTAAAACTCTGTAACATAGGATGCTTAGAGCTGGTCCAGGGCCTTTTAATTCCTGGTCAGGTAGGCATTCCTTTTCATTTATTAAATACTTACCATATTCCGCAGGGGATCAGGAAAAATTTGGAACAATTCTGTTTTAATAAATAGGTCACCACCTAGGACTTGATAATGTTTCTAGTAACATTTTAACATAGTAAAATTGGCCTATAATTACTTCAAGTAACCCAAGGTAAAAGTACCTCCTTAAAAAGAAATCTTATTGGGGCGCCTGGGTGGCGCAGTTGGTTAAGCATCCGACTTCAGCCAGGTCACGATCTCGCGGTCCGTGAGTTCGAGCCCCGCGTCAGGCTCTGGGCTGATGGCTCAGAGCCTGGAGCCTGCTTCCGATTCTGTGTCTCCCTCTCTCTCTGCCCCTCCCCCGTTCATGCTCTGTCTCTCTCTGTCCCAAAAATAAATAAACGTTGAAAAAAAAAAAATCTTATTCTTTCTCATTAAGCATTAGGTTTCTTTGGTACATCTGGTTAATAAAATTAGCTGTTAATAATATTGAAGATAAGTCTACCTGGGGCATATGTGGGCAGCCAGTTCTATCATTTGGGTAGGTAAGTTGGGACTTGGTGCTCTTTCACTAACTGGACTATATGACTTTAGAAAAGCCATTAACTTCTCTGAATCCAAGTTTCTTTAAGGTCTGTTTCTATTCTCTCTATTCATCTCTTAAACAAGATGATACTCAAAATAATTTAATATTTAAATACATACATTACAAAATGCCTCAGAATAAAATATATAACAGGTTTTTATGTATAAGTTGTCAAAGACGACTAGTTCCCTCTAAAATTCTGTTTCTTAAATATTAGTGTTTTTGTTATGTGTGACTATTAGAAACCAGGAACATACAATTCAGCAAGATAGGATTCTATATATTTCTCCATTACAGAATTTTACATTTACTGAAATTAATATTAAATATGAGGAAGTGTAATTCTTATCTTTTTCTGGAGAAAGAGCTCACTTTTCTTTCTTTCCTTTTCTTTCTTTCTAGCCTGTTTTTGTATTGGAAACCTAAGTTGCAGATATAGGTCTACATTAAAGACAATCTTAAAATAGAAACTTCTTTAAAAAAATTGTAAAATGATGTAAGACCATAATCTGGGTGGCAGTAAGACCCCAAAGAGGCATTATGCTTTTATGCCTATGTTTTTATAAATAACTAAGATGTAGTAAAAGAAACAGGCTAAAGTTTCTCAATTTTTCAATCCCTACTAGGAAGTAGCAATACTAACAGTTACAAAGGGGATATTCACAGCAACTGTGTCTTAAAAGAAAACAATACAGAGTAGCTTTACTGATCCAATAAATCAGAGATGCCTTCAGAATTTTCCCAAACTGTTGAACAGATATGCAGTTAGGACACTTTTCAATGGATATTAGATAAAACATAGGAATGCTTCTGAGATTATATAACCAAAATGATTGATTTGATTGATGCTTGATTCTAGATTTCATGGGGGTGGGTGTGCAAATCATTGCTGCTATGTAAAGTATATTTTGGGATAGAAAAGTTTCTACAGGGGCGCCTGGGTGGCGCAGTCGGTTAAGCGTCCGACTTCAGCCAGGTCACGATCTCGCGGTCCCCGAGTTTGAGCCCCGCATCAGGCTCTGGGCTGATGGCTCGGAGCCTGGAGCCTGTTTCCGATTCTGTGTCTCCCTCTCTCTCTGCCCCTCCCCCGTTCATGCTCTGTCTCTCTCTGTCCCAAAAATAAATAAACATTGAAAAAAAAAATTAAAAAAAAAAGAAAAGTTTCTACAAGGTGAGTTTTATTGAGCTAAAAGCTTTTATTTTCCAAAATTCAAAATACTTTAAAAGTTGTTTAAGTTTATAGTCTTTCTTTCTATGCCTTTGTCAGGTGTTAAAATATACAAATAAAAATGTTACTTCCACGCAAACTATAACGCTGAAACATTACCAAGTTCAAAGTTCATTTTATTTTTATTTTTAGTCAGAAGTCCCTGCCTACTCCCAGGCTTATAAATAAGTGAACACTGCCATTCTTGAAAGAAAAAAAAAAAAAAAAACAATTAACACTTATGTGAAGAACTTTTAATTCTTACATGAAACCATAATTTTTAAAAGAACCTTACTTACTGCCTAGGAAGATATTTGAAGTTTACATATAAAAATACTGGGGAGGAAGAAACTTTCTACTTTTCTAAACCTGTGTGGTTAGCACTAAGGTTTTTGACCTCAAAGGGCAACGGCCAATTCCAAAACACGGAACTGTGGAGTAGGCAACAGAAAGGCTCACAGAATGAAATCCTGTTTGTGAATGAAACAGGATTGGGTGCAAGAAAGTGTTAAACAGTTCTTTCTCAGAGACAGAAAATGACTGTTTAGGTGTAATTATCATTAAAATGATAACGAAAAACAAAAACCTTTCACTTCTTCTTCTTTTAAAAGGCTTTCTTGGGGCAGTCGGTTAAGCGTCCGACTTCAGCCAGGTCACGATCTCACGGTCTGTGAGTTCGAGCCCCGCGTCGGGCTCTGGGCTGATGGCTCGGAGCCTGGAGCCTGTTTCCGATTCTGTGTCTCCCTCTCTCTCTGCCCCTCGCCCGTTCATGCTCTGTCTCTCTCTGACCCAAAAATAAATAAACGTTGAAAAAAAATTAAAAAAAAAAATAAAAGGCTTTTCTTGATCTATTTGCATGAAACAACCAAACTTGTCCTATCTGAAAAGGAAAACTCCACACAGAAAGTAAAAAACATTTGTAAACAAAGCTGTTTTATTATTACAGTATACCAAATCCCTTATTTCTTTTAAATTACATTAATTGCTGAAGAATATAAAATATGTATGACCTAACAACCATCAACAACGACAAATTTATGAAACAGAGTACTACCATTCAATTTTATCTCTTTAAGTAGGCTTCAAGCCCAGCATGGAGCCCAGGGAGATCAAGACCTGAGCTGAGGTCAAAAGTCAGAAGCTTAGCTAACTGAGCTTTCCAGGCACACCTACCATTCAATTTTAAATCTTTGTGTAGCCACTTTTGTACACTAAAGAAACAGAAGGTTCTTCCAAATACCTCAGATTAAGTTGGAAGAACTATGTAATTTCTTTAACGGTTATTGCCTAGAGGTAGGCTTTTAAAATTATGAATGCAAAAAGCTCAAGATTCATCTCAAATCTAGCCTAGGAGATGTCTGTTCTTAAAGGAAGGGTAACTAGATTGTAAATGATGAGTTTCTCACTCATCATCATGTGCAATCTAGAACATAACATGTTCCCTCTATTTCTTAGTAAATCTCACTTATGGTAATTCTCTTCTTAAAATCAGAAAGGTAGATACTGAAAGAGAACTCAGCCTTGCCACTGACAAAAAAAACTGGTAACAGCCACCTTTGGTATTAGTGAGCCTTTCAACTCAGCAGAATTCTGGAATTCATTTCCTTATGTGGGCAGGTGGGGAGGATCACATTCAAAAAGTATGGAGAAGGCAGTAAGAACACAGAAAACACAAGTTCTTCTTCTTCTTCTTTCTTTTTAAAGATTTTATTTTTTAAGTAATCTCTACACCTAACATGGGGTTGGAACTCACAACCCAGAGATCAAGAACTGCATGCTCTAACAACTGATCCAGCCAGGCATGCACCACAGAAAACACAAATCCTTAATTATGACCCATTCCTATCATTTAGTAAGTGGTCAAATATCTGATCTTTACATTGTTCAGTACATTAAAAAAACAAACAAACTGGGGCGCCTGGGTGGCGCAGTCGGTTAAGCGTCCGACTTCAGCCAGGTCACGATCTCGCAGTCCGTGAGTTCGAGCCCCGCGTCGGGCTCTGGGCTGATGGCTCGGAGCCTGGAGCCTGTTTCCGATTCTGTGTCTCCCTCTCTTTCTCTCTGCCCCTCCCCTGTTCATGCTCTGTCTCTCTCTGTCCCCCAAAAAATAAACGTTAAAAAAATAAATAAATAAAAAAAAATAAAAATAAAATAAACAAACAAACAAAAAAACATTTTCTCACTGACCAAAATAGGAGGGGAAAGGATCATGGAGCTCAAACTTTATTTGCAATGAAAGCATGAAGCAAATATAAGGTTATTATAGTGGAACCACAGGTCCACTAATAGCTTATGAGGTAATAAAAATATCAGTTTTCTAAAAAGTCAGGCAAGTATCTATACCTATAGCTTTGTTGCTTTTAGCCAAGGGATAGGTTAAAAGTAGGTCACCAGTGCATGAGCAGCCTACTTACTGCATATAAGCTAAATATTTTTTTATTCTTTGAGAATTAAACTCTCCACTGCCAAGGTAAAAGAAGAAAATGAACCAAAACACACATTTAAAAAACAAAGCACACACTCCATAAATACAAATACGTACTTTGATGATGGCAAATATGCATTGCTTTCCCCAGACTTTCCTAGAATCTCCTGTGATTTACTTGGACTTCAAAAAAATAATAGTTCCTAGTCTATTTCTCAGCCAAGCCTAAAAGAGCTGCCATTAATTCCCTGTAACAAAAATATCCAGGACTACCATAAGCATAAAGTGCTACCAAGAATTATCTTCCTTACCAGGGTGGATCATGAATGAAGAAACCTGCATGTCCAGTCACCTTTTGAAATGATTAAACTGCAGGAGACATCTAGCCACAGGGCAAACTGTTAATTTCTAGTAAGTTGTGTTATGTGAGTTTGGTGTCTTGCTAGGCATTGTAAAGGGGTGGAGGAGAAGCATTATCAAACCATTTAATTGCTACTGGCCCCATGCAGATTTCAGCCCAAAGGGATCCTATGCCAAATTAGGATTTAATTATTCTTTAGCAGAAAGAGAAACCAAATGATGAAAATGTTCAAGACATTAGATTATTTTAAGAAACAAAATTCTAAAATGGGAATGTGCACTGGTAAACTCCAAGTATGCTTCAATTTCTTGGATAAAAAAGACATTTTGCTCTTCCCAATAATCACTCCAAATAAAAATGCTGGTGTTTCAAAATAGACTAAGAAAATAATCACCTTCACACCTTCAGTGTCACAATTCCTTAGAAAAGCATCACGTAAGATTTTTTTTTTCCTTTGGTAAATTAGGTACATCTAAGGGAATGTTAGAAACTATCATATTAAATTGTACCTTATTATCTACTGGAAGTGATAATTGTTAAACAATGATTCAATTTACAAACAGGCCAAACTACACATATATGCCATAT